TTTTCATGCCTAAGGTGAGACTAGAACTCCCACTCTCCTGGTGATTGAACCAAAGTCACCCAACCAATTTTCATGCCTAAGGTGAGACTAGAACTCCCACTCTCCTGGTGATTGAACCAAAGTCACCCAACCAATTTTCATGCCTAAGGTGAGACTAGAACTCCCACTCTCCTGGTGATTGAACTAGTCATCCAGCCGGCTTTCATGTTAAACAGGGACTGGAACTCACTCTCTCCTGGTGATTGGCTCAAAGTCACCCAGCTGGCTTTATACCTAAGGTGGGACTAGAACTCACCATCTCCTGGTGCTTGGCCCAAAGTCACCCAGTCAGCTTTCATGCCTAGGGCAAAACTAGAACTCACGGTCTCCTCGTTTCTAAGTCAGCCCCGTAACCACTAGGCCGTAAACTGGCTCCTTAACCCAGACTTTAGCCACAATTTCCACAATTTTCTCCATGGCGGCGACCACTTTAAAAACAGATCAGACTCCAAAGCCCACAGCATTTTCAGAGCCACCCATGTTCCTCTCCCACAACAGCTTCCAAAAGAGTCAACCCTGCCTGTGACAACTCTCTGGAGTCTGGACAGTTCTTCCTTTTCCCTCTTCACTGTTCAAGGGTCATTTGAACCTAGCCTAGCACTACCTGAGCAAGGGGGACTGGACTAGAAGACCTCCAAGGTCCCGTTCCAGCCCTATTCTGATGGATTGATCGTTGTTGCTTTATATTTAAATGACACACCATTGTTTGGAGAAGATGCTTCACCTGCATTTACTTGGTGAGCAAAGGGCTATGACATTTGCTTGCCCACTGGCCCGCTTAGCTTGAGCTGCCCATACAGGTATATAATCCTTGGCTTACAACCATTTAGTGACCGTTCCTTAGATGCAACGGCACTGAAAACAGTGAGTGACTGTAGAGTTCCCCAGGCGGCCAGGCTGTAAGCTGACTGGGCTTCCACTCCCAGAGTTCCCCAACCCTAACCCATCCTGGGAGTCGTAGTCCAGTCATCTTAAAGCATGGCCAGGTGGGGAATCCTGGGAGTCATAGTCTCCAACTCCTAAAGTGGCCAAGACTGGACCTTTCCTGCTTTAAAACCTTCTCGGTCCCCCTGCCCCCAATTCCCACCAAGCAAATCAAGGCTAGGCTCAGCCACACTTAAGCCCCCCCAGATTTGGGGATGGGGGGTCAGTGGGGCGCAGGAGAAGGGGGAGGTAAGCCCTCCCCCCTCCCATCCAGGCAGCCCAGGGCTCCCTCCAACCCATGGGGCCACTCGGGGGCTCCCCCCCTCCCCACAGCCATTGGGGGCAGCCGACGAGACCCCCGCGGGGCGAGAGGGGCGTAGCCGGGCGCGAGAGGGGGCGTGGCCGGGAGGGTCGGGGGCCGCCTGAGGGGGCCGCATGGCGCGCGGGGCACGACGGGAGGGGCGCCCGGGGGGGGAGGGAGGTGGGAGGAGGTAAGGGAGGCCGGGGTGGGGGGTGTGGGGGAAAGGGGTCCGAGCCTCACCGTCCACGCAGCGACCCCAGGCGCAGCCCTCCGCGGAAAGAGAGGCCGGGCCGCGAAGGAGGTCTGCGCTCGCTCTCTCTTCCCGCCGCCGCCGCCTCCTTTCCTCACAAACTGCCGCGGCTGCTGGCGCCGCCCTATGGCGTCATCAAACGGCGTCGGGTGGAAAGGGCGGGGATACCTATCGACGAAGGGAGAGAGGGCGCTGGGGCGCGTGACGTCACACGCCGCCGCCGCCGCCCCTCTCCGCCCGAGCGCTCCTCCTCCTACCCCACTCCCCGCTCCTTTTCGCGCGAGGCACGACGGGATTGGGCACCGCCTTCGAGGTGGGATGCTGGGAGTTGTAGTCCCGAGCGGGAATATAGGGGCCTGGGCCTCGCCGTTTCCCCTCGAGGGATGGTGCCCAGTTAGCATCCTGCCTGGCATGGGTATGCCCCCACTCTGCCTGCCAAGTGGGCCTAGCGCCCCTCCCAGGCCAGGCCTGGTTGAAGTGGGGGTGGGCTCCACACCTCTCCTCACCATCCTTGCCTGGCACACTGGGCCTCTTGGGCATGGTGCCCCCACTCAGTGCCCAGACCAAACCGACATGAGGCAAGGCAGGCGAGACCAAATCTCCGTTTTTATTGGCACTGCAATTCCAGGCTGATGGGTGAGGCCTTTGGGAGGCTTCGTCGGCGTCTTCGGACCAGGAGCCAGGCCACGAGGGAGAGAAGGGCCATGACCAGGGCACCCATCGGCGGTGGCAGTAGCGGCCAGCCTGGCACTTTTCCCCAGGGTTGCTTCCCATCTGAAGGGGAAGCAGAGAGAGAGAGACAGACAGCTTTTCGGGGGTGTCGGACAACTTTTAAGACTGGTGGACTACAACTCCCAGAATGCCCCAACCAGCAACTTTATCAGTGGACTACAACTCCCAGAATGGATTGCAACTTCTAGAATGCCTAGCCAGCAACTTTAAGGCAGGTGGATTGCAATACCCAGAATGTGTTGCTGGCTGAGGATTCTGGGAGTTGCCGTCCACCCGTCTTAAAGTTGCCAAGTTTGAAAAACCCTGTAAATGTAGCACAAGGACCTTCCTTAGACTAGTCACAGGCTTCTCAAATTACACGGAGACCTCTTTGGTTCTAACACCCTGGCCAGGACAACTGGACTTGCATGACTTCCAAAGCATGGGGTGTAAGCTTACTCTTAGAGTAAGCTTTGAGTTGCTCCAAAGAGAAGAGGGTCAATTGATTCTCCAAAGCACCAGAAGGCAGAAAAAGAACCAACGGGTAGAAATTAATCCAGGAGAGAAGCAACCTAGAACTAAGAAATATCCTGACAGGGAGGACAATGAACCTGTGGAACTGCTTGCCACCGGAAGGTGTGGCTGCTCCAACACTGGAGGCTTTTAAAAAAGAGATTACAGAGTCATTTGTCTAAAATGAATCTCCTGCTGGAGCAGGGGGTTGGACTAGATGACCTCCGAGGTCCCCCCGACTCCGTTAGTTCTCTCGTGCTCTCCTGCTAGAGCAGGGGTTGGGCTAGAACAGGGGTTGGCAACCTTAAACATTCAAGAGAGCCACAAAAGTCCTAACCAGAAGCCCCCCCCGCGGTTCAATTCCAGAGCCGACTGGACTCTGGCGATTCCGCCCCCCAACCATAGAGTCTCCTCCTAGCACGGCTTCCTTCTTCCTCTACCTGTCCTAACCAAAAGCCCTATCAATTGTGGAGCTGACCAGTCTCTATGGCAGTTCCTCCACCATAGAGTCTCATGAGGGATTAAAAGAGCCACATATGGCTCCGGAGCCACAGGTTGCTGACTCCTGGACTAAGAAGACCTCCAAGATCCCTTCCAACTCTTGTTATTGTGCAATAGCTCTTACTTGAGCATGGGGGGTTGGACTAGATGACCTCCAAGGTACCTTCCAACTCTTGTTATTCTGATTAACCCCCACCCACCCCCGGCAAGCCAAAGCTTTCTCTGGTTTGGCTGTGCCCACCTTTGGCGGCCATGTTGACCGCTTGTTTGGGGAGAGTTGCAGCAGTGTAGGCAGCCGCATCTTCCAGGGGGGCGGGCAGCCCCTCAGCCTTGATGCCCAGCACTGCTCTCTCTGTGCCAGAAAATCGAGGGTTTGATGGGTGAGCCGGTGCCAACGTCAATGCCAGAGCGGCCACTCGCTGCCTGCTGCCTGCGACTGCTTCCGTCGGGTCTCTGAATCCCGAGCCTTCTTGTGCCCCACTGAAGAAGAGGGGGCCTTGCTGGATGAAAGCTGACAAGGGGGAAGAAGAAGCATTAGACCAACCCAAGGAAATCATCATCATCATCCAATGACCTGGGCAACTGAATGAAGTTTTGAGTGTTTTACTGGCTGGATGCCTTTCCTGTCGCTAGGGCGGAGTTTTGTTTGGCAAATATATTCATAGTCATAGTCCACAAGTCGTAAAGTGGCCCAGGTTGGAGACCCCTGCCTTATGTGGTGCTTACCTTCCAGGCAGAGCCCCGAATGATCCTTCCGATCCACTGAGGCCCTGGATGATCCCACTTGCTCTCCGATGGGAGGGATAGTTACCTTTGGCCTGGCTGGTATCAGTTCTGTCCAGAGTAGGAAAAAAAAGCACTTGTTGAGATGTACATGAACCCGTATATCTAACACAGGTCGTCCTCCATTTACAACCGGTCCTTTAGCGCAGGTTCGAACTTGCAATGGCCCTGAAAGGAGTGAGTCACGACTCCTTTTTTTGGAGGGGGGAGTAAGTTTTCTATTTATTTTTTTAACTTGAACATCATCTTCCTTTAAAAGCAGATGTTTTCCATTAAAAACATCTCTGTGCTGTTACAATCAAAGTTTCCAATATTCATTGCGTCGATCATAATCCTCTAACCTTACAATAAAAATAATCCACATTGTAACTCTCTTCGTTTCTCCCTCTTAACGTAATCTACTGGAAAATATACAACATTAGGTCTAATAATCTTAACAATCATTAATCAGCATCATCATATTGCTTACCTCTCTATCTTAACATATATTCTTTACTAGCTCGATCCCCATGTGCTTTGCTACAAAACTAGGTGGTGGGGCTTAGTTTTTGGGGAGGAAAATAAGACGGGGGTGTAGAATTCTGTCTCTGCCTCCCAGCCTCCATCTGGCTAGCGTCCTGTCAGTGTGTGTGAGAGTGGAGGGCTGTTTGGAAACTGAAACAGTATTTGCTGGGTGAGCAAGAAGGAGACAGCAAGGAGCCTGAGCATGGCTTAGCTCAACTGTTCTAGATTAAAGCTGCTTGGTGCTGCTGTGAAACTAAAACTGAAAGCCCTCTGCTTGTGTTTTGCCTTTGGAAGAGATTTATTTTCAGGTGGGGAGGGGGAGTAGAACTCCTTAGCATCAGAGCGGGATAATAATAATAATTGTAATTGGAGCCCTTGGAGCAATACCTAAAGGGCTGCCTCTCTATTTGGAAATTCTGAATTTATCAGACTTGAATACCCTGATTCTACAAAAAACCACCTTACTTGAATCTCATTAAAGATTAACTAATAATAATAATAATAACAACAACAACAACAACAACAACAATAATAATAATAACAATAATAATATATGAAATACTAATGCTCTGATGGTCATTTCCAAAATCCTTTCTTAGTGAGCACCTAGAAGCCAAGAGGAACCTACGTGCCAAATATCAATTTTGTAGGCTTTACGGTTCTGGAGATTTTGTGAAGATGCGTGAGTGGTATTTCGCATTTTATATAGAGAGATCCATTTCTCCCTCTTAACATCTCTTCTAATGAAAATATAATATTAGGTATAATAACCTTAATAATCATTAATAATCATGTTGTTTACATCTCTATCTTAACATATATCCTTTATTTCATTAATCTCCATTTATTTCTCACTTCTGTTTTTATTCTCCAACCATCCATAAAATACCTCTCACATTCATATAATATTCCATTGGCTCTTTCTCCTTTAGAGCAAGTGTTCATCTGTTCAGTTCTACACATTCTCATATTTTCCTCATCACATTCTCATCCGCAGGGATCTCATTTCTTTTCCAATTTGGGGCAAGCAACCCTTTTCTTGCTTTCCGGTCATTTTGTGAATTCACTGCAGTAGTGAAGTTGAGTCACAGGGTTCTTTAGGTCTATCTGTAGCACCCGAAGGCCAGACAAGGAAAAATGGATGGAAACTTAACAAGGAGCGATTCAACCTGGAAATAAAGAGAAACTTTCTGACAGGGAGAACAATCAACCGATGGAACAGAAGTTGCCCTCGGAAGTTGTGGGAGTGCCATCACTTGAGACTTTCAAGAAGAGATTGGACTGCCATTTGTCAGAAATGGTGGAGGGTCTCCCACTTGGGTGGGGGTTGGACTAGATGACCTATAAGGTCCCTTCCAACTCTGTTCATCTGACTTTCATCTGATTTGATGAACAAAAGGACCAGGGGAAACAGGAGAGCAGTCTTCCAATATTTGAGGGGGGGGTTGGACTAGATGACCTCCAAGGTCGCTTCCAACTCTGTTCATCTGACTTTAATCTGATTTTAATGAACAAAAGGAGCAGGGGAGGCAGGAGAGCATCTTTGAATATTTGAGGGTGGGGAGGGTTGGACTAGATGACCTCCAAATTCCCTTCCAATTCTGATTATCTGTGAAGCCCCAAGCCTTGGAAACTTCAAAAGGACAGCAAAATTTTATCTTTGTTCAGCATTGCCAATTTGTTTGGGGGGGACAACAACAGTTGTGGTTGTTTGGTTTCCGCTTTTCGTGAATCAGAACGAAAGTTTTGGCAACCATTGACCGAGGCGGTGTGACATTTTCCTGAACATCAAGAATAGTTCTTTTTTTTTGAAAACAGTTTTATTGGTTTTTTTAACAAACAAACAAAAACAGACAAAACATAAAAGCATCAGCTCTCTTCCATACTTATATACAAACAGTGTGTCGGTTGGTTCATCAGTTTTGTGCATCCATTTTGTAGTCTCAATTACAATTATATTACATAATAGCTCTTATTTTCAATCCTAACTTATATATATTCATATCATTATTAAAAAAAAAATCATTTGACTATACTTTTATTCATTCATACTTTATGAGATAACTATAATTTAAGTAATTTATTCTATAACC